GAATCATTATGGCATTAGTAACTCATTATGATATTGAGTTGAACATATGTGAAAATTAATTTTCTGAAAGAGAGTTTAGATGAAGAATTTTGTGTAAGTCAACTCAAAGGTTTCTCTATTGAGGAAAATGAAAATGTGACTTGCAAACTTAAGAAATCAATTTGTGGACTTAAACAAGCTTTCTAAAAATTGTATCTCAAGTTTTATGATACTATTTTTCTTTTGGATTTAAAGAAAATATTTTTGATTAGTGTACATATCCATAGATCAGTGGGAGCAAGTTTATATTTACGATTTTGTATGTTGATGATATTTTGCTTGTCAATAATTTACGTGATTTATTGCACGCGTTAAGAAATTTCTCTTTAAGAACTTTGAAATGAAATATATTCGTAAGACAACCTATGTGATAGAAATTGAAATATTTCTAAATGAATCACATGAATTGTTGAGATTGTCTTAGAAGGTATATATTAAAAGTTCTATAGAGATTTAGAATGAGAGAATATTCACATAAAGTTATCCATGTTCCAAAAGGAAATAAATCCAGTCTTATGCAAATATTTATAAAATCAATTACAATAGAAATGTTTTTTTTTAATACATTTATTGTATGCAATTTAATGCTCAAATAAGGAAGTGATAAGGCAATCATAAGGAATAAAAGATTACGTACTCACATTTATGAAGTCTGATAATCTTGAATTGATTGGTTACTTAGATTCAGACTTTAGATGATATATTGATAGTAGAAAATTCACTTTTGGTTCTTTATTTCTGTTATGTGGAGGAGCAATATTAAGAAAAGTATAAAACGAACTATCATAAGTATCCTCTATAAAATTTAAATTTGTGGTGCGCTTTGAGACCACAATTCATGAATTGTTATTGCAAAATTTTATCTCAAGACTTGGGATTGTCAACTTTTGTTGCCAAGTAGTTGAGAATTTATTGTGATAATTTATAAAATCAATTACAATAGAAATGTTTTTTTTTAATACATTTATTGTATGCAATTTAATGCTCAAATAAGGAAGTGATAAGGCAATCATAAGGAATAAAAGATTACGTACTCACATTTATGAAGTCTGATAATCTTGAATTGATTGGTTACTTAGATTCAGACTTTAGATGATATATTGATAGTAGAAAATTCACTTTTGGTTCTTTATTTCTGTTATGTGGAGGAGCAATATTAAGAAAAGTATAAAACGAACTATCATAAGTATCCTCTATAAAAGTTAAATTTGTGGTGTGCTTTTGAGACCACAATTCATGAATTGTTATTGCGAAATTTATCTCAAGACTTGGGATTGTCAACTTTTGTTGCCAAGTAGTTGAGAATTTATTGTGATAATTTCGCAATTATTTTATTTTCTTAGAATGACAAGTATTCTAATGATGCTAAACACATAAAATTGAAATACTTTGTCGTCGAAGAAGAATTTCAGAAACAGAAAGTGTCAATAAAACACATAAGTATATAACTTTTAAGTGCGGATCTATTGATGAAGGGATTACTCTTGAAGACAATTAAGAAACTTGCCAATTGGGTCTTGAATGTAATCCATAACAATTGTTTATGATTGATTGTGTTATTTGATACATTGAGATCTCATTAATTGTGTTTTTGATATATTTCCTGTTATGAAATGAGTACGTACATATATGAGAATGAATGAATGACAACATGAGTAGTCTTTCATAAAAGTCATTATCATTGGACCTCTTTATACTCTTCACTTAAAGGGCTATGTTAAACTAGTTTCTAGTGTTGTAGTACATGGAAGGGACTATATCGCAATATTGGTGTAGAACCGCCATGACTCATATTAGTGAACTATTTAATTATAGCATTATGATGATGACCAAATTAAAGGTAATATTGAATATGGTTTATTGCGCACCTAATGTTAACCTTGTTAAATCTTGATGTAAGTTATCATATGGGCCAAGTAGGAGAATGTAAGCCTAAATTAATTATTTAGTCATTATGTTGACCCAAATGATATGGTAATATGAATTAGAGATTCGGTAGGATTATGATTCCATATTTTTTGCTACAATTAATTGGTAAATAAAGAAGAGTGTTTTCCAAGTATCCTTCTTTGATGGGAAAGTGGAATCATTGTTGAATAAGGAAAATGGTCCTCTCTCTACCTATAAAAGGACATTCAGACTACCCATCAAATTAATTCTGAATTCAATGTATTCTAAAGATGGTCAAGAGAGAGAAATCCTTTTCTACTAATATTATTATTAGGTTTATGTTCAATCAATTTTGGGTCACTCGACGGTTTCACATAACTAATTCGGGTATGTTATTTATTTTTCGCATTATGTTATTATTTGTGAAAATCATGATAGTTCACGATTTTGGATTATGAAGGTTGTTATATGCATAACATCATCAGCATATGAATTTGAATGATGTAATTAGGCCAGTAAATAGATCGGATTTAGATTAGATCTGTCAAAATCTGAATCTGATCCGATTAAGACAAACCCGAATATGATCTGAATCCATTTAGACCATATCCGATTATAGATCACCCGAATTCGAATCCGGTAATTTCAAATATCCGTTCTGATCCATTTATTAATTTATTGAGCTACAATTTTATATAGTTTGATTTATTTATTTTTATTTTTCATTTTGTGTTTTCTTCATTCAAATTAAGAATAATCGGATCGGATCGGATTTTTGCATATTCAATCCGTTTAATAAACGGATTAAATGGATTCAGGTTATCAGATTGCCGAATTGGGTATTTTGTAAATGGATTCGGATTTTCAGATCGGATTCAGATTAAATCTGATCCATTGACAGGCCTAAGTGTAATTATGGATTTCTAGAGGGAGATTTGGATTCGAGCTTATCGAGAAGTATTGAACGCCTAATTAAGAAGTATTGAACGCCTAATTAAGATTTGGATTCGATCTTATTGAGAAGTATTGAACGCCTAATTAAGATTTGGATTCGAGCTTATCGAGAAGTATTGAACGCCTAATTAAGATTTGGATTCGAGCTTATCGAGAAGTATTGAACGCCTAATTAAGAAGTATTGAACGCCTAATTAAGATTTGGATTCAAGCTTATCAAGAAGTATTGAACGCCTAATTAAGAAGTATTGAACGCCTAATTAAGATTTGGATTTGAGCTTATCGAGAAGTATTGAACGCCTAATTAAGAAGTATTGAACACCTAATTAAGATTTGGATTCGAGCTTATTGAGAAGTATTGAATGCCTAATTAAGAAGTATTGAACGCCTAATTAAGATTTGGATTCGAGCTTATCGAGAAGTATTGAACACCTAATTAAGATTTAGCATCCGCCTAGGTCGGGACGAGCTGAGCTACAAAAATAATGTCTAAGCCTGTTTGCAGATTAAGCCCAACAAGTTTTTTTTTTTGACAGATCAGGCAAAACCATAATGCAAAATCTTAGGTCCAAGTCCTGTAGTGTCTCAAGTCATTTAGCAACCTAAGAAACTCTTCAAATCTTATTGGATAATTTGATGATAATGATTCTGATGGTGACACTCATCTGTCAATCAGTACAAGCTTTGAATGACATTCGCAAGTTTGATTGATGATTTTTCCCTATTAAAAATATGGCAATTTAGGACACGGAATGAAACTCACGTTCTCGTATTGTTTTGTGGAAAAATGCTCTGTAACTCGAATTTGTGTGGCCCAAATGCTTTGATACATTCGAGCCATTTAGGCTACCAATCATTGTTGTTGTTTTGTGCCCACTATTAATCATATGTTTCAAATCATTTAAACACAACCCCTATTATTAAACGAGCACAAAACACAAAATAATTACTCGTGTTCCAACATCTATGATTGTAAAATAGCAACTGCAAACAGTTGAAAAGGATTCTTCATTCCTGCCTTTCAAACACATGAAACCAACATGCAGAAGGAAGCCTATTAGAAAAGGATCAACATTTCTTTCGAATTTTCCCAGTACCCAAACACACTACTAATAACAATTTTCCATCTAAAAGCACAATTGCAAAAGCTTACAGGAGCCTAGTTTTCGTATAACCAATACCCAATTCCAGACCATACCTCATTTTTTTAGTTAAAATGACAACAAAACATTATAGGACATTTCTAGGTTGATATATCACACAAAATCAACTTAGAAAGATCAAAAGGACTCCCTAAAAAGTTCAAGCAATTGTAACAAATACCCAATTCCATATTGTATCTCATTTTCTAGTTAAACTAGGGTTGCAAACGAGCCGAGCCGAGCCGAGCGGATTTTAAGTATGTTTGGGCTTGTTTATTAAAATTTTAATGAGCTTGAAGCTAAACTCAAACTCAATAAAAATTTAACAAACTAAGCTTGAGTCGAGTTGACTTAGGCTTGACTTAAGTTTGAGCCTATTCACAAACCTTAACAAGCCAAGTAAATTATAAATTCATACTTACGTATGAGACTAAAATTACAATTAAAACTTTGATTATACAATTATATATACAATATATATAAACATTCTAAAAAAAAGTTAATATTTTATCAAAATAATAATATCTACTACCACTATTATATAAATGTACTATCTATAGTTAACTATTATTTACATTTATATTTTTTAAATATCTAAATAACATATTTATCTTATTTTTTATACATATTTTTACATTATTTAATATATAATTAAATATTAAATGAGCCGAGCTTACGAATCGAGCTTTAGAATGTTCGGGCTTGTTTATTAAAAATTTAACGAGCTCGAGCTCGATCGCAAAAAAAAATTAACGAACCGAGTTCGAACGAACTCTTATCGAGCCGAGTTCGAGCTTGTTCACTAATGACTCTGTTCATTTGCAGCCCTAAGTTAGACTGACAACAGAACATTAGAGGACATCTCTAAGTTAATATACCACAGAAAATAAACTTAGGACGATCAAAAGAACTTGACACAAAATTGCTAGAAGTTCAAGAAATTGTGACACAAGTTGATATAAACCCTACAAGGTCATAACTGACTTTTAAATTAACAATTCCTAGAAATAAAAAACTTATTAAAGGTTATCCAACAAAGACAACTATAACTGAATCCAAACCAGACAGCACATTATTGTCTTATATTAACAAGTCTCTCTAGATCCCGTCAGCATGTAGCACCCCGTAATCTCGAGACAGAGTTCTAAACTGCATGGATTGGATTGCTGATTGAGTTAACACCTGAGCTCCCCGAGCCAGGATTAGCCTGGAAAGCCGACTGCCTACTAGACGAACCTTCAAGCAGTTTGAGCGAGAGAGGGGAGGGGCCCGCATCCCCAAGGGATTCCCCGATGCTGAGGTTCGACATTCCAACCAGCTCATCAACATTAATTGGGCTCTTTGAATGTACTGCTGTGGGCTTAAGCACTTCATGTGTCTCCTCCATTTTAGCTGCCTCTGTACTGTGCCCTCTGGGCCAAAATGGAACGGAAAATGGTAGGAATTGAGTGATATAAGCAGGAAACATAACAGGGTAACAGTGCTGAGAACTATCGGGCTTTTGCAGGACAGGTTGTTCCCCATCGTTGGAGTTTGTAGAATCCATTGATTCACACTCTTCGTCCAAAGTAGGAGGGTCCGGCAATGGGTTGTTTGTTTGTGTCTCGGTTTGAGGGTTGACCGTGAAGAAATCATGTGATTCCATGGGAGTGTCAACTGACTGCATAAAGGAGAAATGCAAGAAAAGAGGTGTATAAATGACAAGTATTTAAAAAGATAAAAGCAAACACCAAATTTGCATGGATCTGAAAACAGAAACCTAACCATATGGATCCCAATATGGACTTTTGGAAAAGAAATTTGCACAAATATGCCCCCTCAGGACTTTAAAAGTGGAATAATACAATTATCATTTATGAATGCACATTGAAGACAGAGGAAGCAGAAGATATTTTGAAAAGTCTTGGGAAAATATACATATCACTAATGTCTTTGAAACGGGACTGGACTGTACCAGCTGGTTAAACAATCGACCAGTCTAGGTTCTGGTTCAGAGAGACCATTAGAAATGGTCACTTTCAAGAACCGGTGTTTCTTAGATAAACCGTTTGAACCTGCAATTAAACCAGTTAACCATACGAACCAGTGGCTGTTCACAATGCATTCGCTTAAAATTTTTGTCGTGTTGGAGACTTGAATTTGCATTTCTGTTGGGAAAGGCTTAGGCCAAGACCACTGAACTACACACTGCACTTACTATATCTATAAAAATATATATTATTTATTATTGTTCCAACTTTACTAAAAATCATTACAACTTTCTATAAAATAACAATGCATATTATTCAAAATCTTAAATTAAAAATAAATTGAAAATAAAGTATATATTTTTGTAATTTAATAGCTATAGTTTATTAATGCATAATTATCAACATATTTATGATGCAATTATAAAATCACTGTTCAATATTAATGCAAAATTATCCAGGTTTCAGAACATTGTATATCACACTCAGAATACGGGATTAATTAATGATTCAGAACAACCAACGGATATACAAAACCAAAATATCCGAAAGGGTATGCACCATTACACCCACAATAACCGCAAGAGATGGTCCTGTTCCCATGCATTTATGTCACATGCCATGTTGATGACCATGCCACTAATTTATCCATTGGCATAAGAATCTTCAGTAGAGATATGTGGAAGATAATATGAGTTACACAAGTGGATGGATGGAACACTAGCTGCTTAAAGGAGAAAGCAAGAAAATAGAGAGATGAAGAAAGGAAGATACTAACTTCATCGGCTACAATGTCAAATAGGCTGGAACGTCTTTTTCTCCTAGAAGCATTGCATTGCCTGATGAAATATTTCTGGGCGTGGCTAGCAACCTGTGTGGGTGTTCTTGATATTACATAATTGCGTGATATTCCACGCCAATCACCTTTGCCAAGCTTTTGTAAACCAAATAGAAACATCCGATGTTCCTCTTCAGTCCATGGAACACCTGCAAATCAAATTATGCATTGTTTCAAAGGAAAACAGAGCATGTGACAACAAAAACTACATGATAGATGAACAAATGATGGATATTCAGTCCAATGTGCAAGAAACTGCGCATAGATTATGGTAGAGTACTAAAAAATGTACATTCAGTCCAGTAAAAATAAAATAAACAAACCTCAGTTATTGATATTTATGAATCAATGTAAAGCAGACACTATGGAAAACATTAAAGTGGTCTGCAGTTGCATTGGGAAGTGCTTCAGCTAACCCACAAAAGTATTAAGAAAAATGCTATGAACCCCCCACTTAAATACCCCGAATTTACCCTGAATGGGAGTTGTGTGGTTGAGATTGAACTTGTGTAGAGTGGGGTCCGTGTGTAGAATAAATTTAAACCACAAGATGACAATTCCGAGTAATTTCTGGGTAGTTCAGATTGGGTTTGTAGTATTACTGAAGTATTAAAGTGTGTCCCAGCCTCCATGTTAAATCTTCGGAAAATAATTTGCAAACATAAATTTTATACAGAAAATCCTACCAAAATGATATGGTAATGGCACTTTGGAAATAAATAGATACAAATCAGCCATATTTTTATTTATAGATTTTATATATGATTTTTCTATTTGTATATCATTACTCTAAATCTTCAAACTCCTCATA